TCGAATTTACCCCAACACTGACTAAGGTTCAAGCCATTATCATAGACGTGAGTTGGGAGTGTACTCCCCCTGGTTACGACTTATGTTCTCCCTGTTAATCACATGAGCATCACTCACTATTAATCATCTTGTAAAAACTTATTTAGCTAAATACATCTTGCAGCACCACATCACTTAGTAATATGACACATGGGCTTAGCTGATTTTAATAACTTATAACCACTATATCTTAATTAAATCGTATTCCGCCTTATGATAATCTGCATACCTTCAACTAACTTGTATACCCAGTCAGCCGACAAGTATAGATATAAATAAATAGTCTGCCGCAGATCAGAACATTGAGTCTAGAGCATGTCTCTTAAGAATACACTCATGTTTAACGATTTGTTCCTAGCTATCTGTCCAAAATTCACATAATTACCACTCACGTATTTAAATTTTGTTTTGATAACCATTCATGTGTATTAGTAGGATTACTAAATTCTATCACGGTCAGGTAAACATGGGGTTGAGAAAATCTCCCCGTAACTAAATAAACCGTATCAAACTAACTGGAACACTAGTTGGAATTCTTCTCCACGGTAATACTTTTGTTCCTCCAGTTAGCCTACTAATACAGATGCATTTGGAAATCGACTCATATGGACAACTTACCGGCATAATCGTTATTTGATTTCATAAGTTAGACTAAAAGTAGTACTAATATTAACATTTCTACAATATTCATAACTTTAATATTTCTAAACACAAAATACTTATCACCTATACGTTAAGTTATTAACCAACGACTATTAACACGCATCGTTTTATTATTATTATTATTATTATTATTATTGTAATCCCATTTTTTATAGCTCAAATAATCACTCAAATTTTCATTGTAAGCGTGTTAAGCATGAAGGCAGATATTTTAAAATTATTACATGTATTTCCCGACCAGATGCTGCCGTCTTCTTTTTGATTTATCTTTCAGCTTGTCATCACCCGGAGGATTCTTACTAGTCTTGGTAACCTTCGGCACACTACAGTCCCATCCAATTTGGTATCGAACCAACACCACGTTGATTCTCGTGGGAGAGTAGTGTAGTGGCATTGGACCATAACCACACAATCCTCAAAGCTGAATACGAGATTACTCAGAAAATAGATATTCAATATTTAACGCGAAGAAATACCTAACGATGGAGAAGGCGCGACTAATGAATTGAATAGACTAGAGTTGATCGAACGGCATGGCTCGGCCATGCAGGCGTGGTCTCTGCTGAATGTTACCTTATATCTTCTTTTCATATTAAATATATTGTTCTTTCTCTAGCCTAACCTTGTTCTACATCATGTATTGGTAATTGATACGATACAGTGAGTTGGTGTAGTCGATGGTGTGACTTCCACGTAAGATCTTATAGATTAGGCAGTCATATCATGACAAACCTACAAATTTAGGATTAGGTCTATTATTAGAGCAGTACTAATATCATAGTAGACCATAAGTTCTACAAGCTTACTCCAACTTGTTAAACATCACAACTCATTGTTCTTTATTAGTACATTCTATAATATGGAGCCTCTGACTTCATTTCACTAACAAGACATAATATGAATTTATTCTAATTTATTATACCTTATGGTGACATATATTCAGTGATTTTTGTAACAACAAAAATAAAAACCACATTTTTCTCTCATTTGTCACACCTTATTTGTAACCACATTTTTACTCAATATCTGTTGTTTTGCTGTATCACTTTGTTGAAAAAGACGATGATAATTGTTTCGATGAATAATATACAATTCTACTACCGCATTGTTTAAAATATAGAGCACTATCTACGCCGCTTGTTCTTCTGTTTTATTGGCCACCGTTTGATTGAAGACTATAATAGTATTTATAACATCATTATAGGCTTTCCGACGCAACGTTGGACTTTTGGCGCGGATTACTATTGTATAATACTATTGGACTACGTCTTCCTCATTACGTCATTGGTGCAGTCGCTTGCAGAAGAACACCTGTCAATCAAGTGAACTCAGTTTGTGGTCGTTGTTCTCACGAGGAAGTTCACAAGTAACATTCATTCTATAGTAACTGTTAGTGTCTGTTTGTTTAATATACCTTTTGTATTGCTAACAATATTTTGTTACCTTTCGGTTTTACTAACGGACAGACATCTAGGTTTCTTTACTATTAGTTTTTTTTTGGTATATCATCATTAACCTAGTGTACTAATATAATTTGTATAAGCTCCTTTTGTTTGGGAACCACCACAACCTCTGTCCGTTCTACTACACTATGTTAAGCAACGTTTTGCGTTCATATCCAAGTGCCTTGCTGCTCTTCTGTTTCTCTTTTTTCTTCAGAATCTTGCTCTGAGAGCACGGCTATGAAACTTCTGACGTTTTGAACAAACTTGATGTACGCGTCCTCTCAAGGTCATAGTTTACAGCAAGCGCTCTACGATTTCACTTTATAACAACTATAAACTTAATAAGTTGGGAAACAATTTGTGAACCAACAAATGTTGTAATTTATAGATCATGCCTGTAAAAACGGTGTGTACCTGCACATGCAGAAATATATTATATTATAAGGTTTGGACATCAAAAGCTCCAATATATAGTTTTGAGCTTGATTTCAGAAGACCAGAAATTAAGTTTCGTGGACTCAAATCGATAGTATTGGTGGTGCGTGGTGATAAAGATATGCGAGAAGCGTAAGCCTCGGAGATGAAATAATCAGTGAGAGGTGAGGCACAGATTTGATTACCAACAAGATGATCTCGTGTGATGATAGAGGTATGAGGTTGGTTGTCACTCCCCGCTTGCTCACACTGTGGAGGAATATTTCTTCCTGAGGAACTTGAGGATGAAGCTCAATTAGCGGTGGTCTTAGTGTTTCATAAACGTCACTCCACTCTCCCATCAGAATCAACGTGAAGTTGGTTCATTACCAAATCCAGTGGGATTGTCGCGTGCTGGATGTTACTAGAGGGATGATAACAATCCTCTGACTACTGATAAACTGAACGACACATCAGAATGAAGGGGGGAGCAGCTGGTCCGGAAATACATGTAATAATTCCAAAATATCTGGTTAAACGCCTAAATCGTTTAAAATGACAGTCCATGTGAACATTATTTAAACATCAAATGGGATTATAATGATGAATAGTAGGTAACTTCTAACAAATCAAATTAAGATGCATACTAATAACCTTTGTTTAGTAGCTAAACTTATGACAGTACAAGTATTTTGTGCTGTATCGTTGTTGATACTGGTGTTATTGTAGGTCTTAGTTATAAAGTCAGTTATCATTTATGCCAGTATGTTGTCCGTATGAGCTGATTTCCAATAACATCTGCATTAGTAGGCCAACTGAAGGAACAAAAGTATGAATGCGAAGAGGAAGAATTCCAACTAGTGTCCCAATTTGTTTAATAATTTCAAAACGGTTTATTTAGTTGCATGGAGATTTTCCCGGCCTCAATATTGTTTACTCTGGTTATTAACCACACGATCTTTGAAGCTGAACATACAATAACTGAGAAGATTAATTTGCAATATGTAACATTAAGAGAAGGTCAAGAATGGTAGATGCGCGAACATTCATGCAACCTGATGGCATGGCTAAGCCATCCAGACGTGGTCGTTCTGTATAACTTGATTTTATTCACATCAAATATATTATCTTATCTTCAACCTGAATTTGTAGACAGTGATGGGACTTCCATGTAAGGTCTTATAGATTAGGTAGTCACATTATGACAAATGTATAATTTTAGGATTAGATCTATCAATATAGCAGTATTAATGGCGAACTAGCCCATATTTCTAAAAGTCCAAGGACCAATTGATTAAAGTTGGTCGTAAACGGTTTCTTATGGAAGGCTCTTGATGTGTTAGCTCTGCACTTCGAAAGACGCTACCACCGGAGAAGGGAATCTGCGAGGCCAAATGAGGCGTGTCATTTCTATGGGCAACCTTTTCTAACTTCTTTCCGTTGTGAGGATGCAGCGTCACGAAAAATGCTGATTATTCGAGGGAAGCAAATTACTGTTGTTACATTCCTACAGTATGTAGTACAACTTCGCCCTTGAACTGAGTTAGTCTTGTAGTTTTCCACCATGGTTGGACACTTTGGAACATGTGTTCTAGCCAATATAGCTCAGTTAAACCATCACGATGGGACAATTCGCCCACCATGTCATGACAGTTACTGCGACCGAGCGAAATCCTTAAAGTCTGTTAAAAACAACGTTTTATCTCGCCGCTACTGTCAGACAAACTACGGCTTCATGTGGTGATATTTTCGACATTCTTTAATGCTGTATGGGTAGTAAAAACTCCAAACAAATAAGTACTGGAAAGCCATAAAGTATTACTCATATGGTCAGTTCGAATAATGTTTTATCGATATGTAATAAAGGAAGGGGAGTATCCTAGATAAAATTTTGGTAGAAGCTTGCTCTAAGTAAATGGAAGGACCTGTGATTGTTTGACCATCATGTCAAGGCGACCTAGAGTAAGAAGTTATAGGATAATATGTCTTCCCAGTAATACTAATTACCTTAAATAGTAGCATCATTCTATTTTTCTCCACAGTAATATTCAGGTTGACGGCTGTTAGGCTATAAAATTAAATTGATTGTATCGATTTAGCACAATCCTATTCAGACCATCAGTAAATTAGTTTGATGCAAAACTCAAACCTTGGATTGCTCACTATCGTTCTGAACTGTGATTTAGACGTCGCATTGGTATTTCTTGATGTTGATTTAATCATCAGACTTAACTTCCTCACGTCTCTCGATTTACCCCTACTTTTTACGATTAACCTGGACCGGTCTTCTTATTAGACAATCTTCACTAACTTCTGAAAAAAAACTCGATTTCCTTTCTTAAAAATAAGGTTAAAGGCCCTAGAAATAAGCTTGTTTGTCACAAAGATACCAAATACATTGGGGACTCAAAGCCTAACTATTTGGACCTTGAAAGCATTCAACGAGAAAGTGGCTCTCTTGACTTGTGCGCTACCTTGTTGTGATTAACAGAGTGTACTAGTTTCTGCTTTAGATTTTTCTGGCAAGTATCCTAGTCTCTTGCATATCAGTTTTTTCTTTGTATATTTGGCATGCATATCGTTTTCCAATCTAAGCCCATTAACCTAAATTTCCGATACTAGAAAATATAACATTGAGTCTGTGACATCAACGTTATTCAGTCTTCAGTAATAAGGATTCTAGGTCTATCGACCTATATTAATACTTGCAGTTTGTAATACTGTAGAGGTTCAATCTCGTTCTGAATATGTCGACAGGTGTTGATATTACGTGTTCCGGTAGAGAATTCCAGTAATTCATTACTCGGTGCGAGAAACGTAACGCCAGACATAAAAGATTTGATCTCGGTTTTTTGAACTTTCTTCAAATTTCCTCTCAAATGGCCAGTCCTAGACGGAAGTAAAAGATAAGGCATGTTAACACCAAGGTCATCGTTCAGCATACGATAAGCCAATATTAGATCACCCCGTATTCTACGGTAAGATAACGGAAATAATTTAGTGTCTCAGTCTGTCTTCATAAGATAGGCCAAACAGACCTTTTACCATCTTAGTACCTCGTCGTTGAACTCTTTCCAACATATCTGCTTCATACTTGATACAAGGACTCGCTGCTTAAATCCCATATTCCAAATGTGATCACACGTAAATCGGGTATAGTAATCTAAACATTTCATCATCTAAATATTGAAAAGACCTACGAATTGACCATAATGCCCTATAGCCTTTTGCAGCAGCAGCCTTACAGTGACTAGTCGTTTTGAGATCATTGCTTAATATGACTCCTAAATCTTTATAGTTTCTTACTTTGGGTAGCACGAATCCACGTAGTGTATAGTCATACGATTCATCAGAGTTATTTAACTGCATCACTACACTCTTATTAAGATTTACCTCTAGTGACCACCTGTCCAACCATGACACGAATGAGCTAAGATCATCCTGTAATACTATTCTATCCGATATACTGAGTATGGGTTATTTATTTATTTCAACACATAGATATTTGTACAAAGAGGCACCAAATACATATGCACCACACAAATCTCATTCGATATGTGTGAGGGCTGTGATACTGCCCGGGTGCCCAAACCGAAACAGGTGGTTTTCTTAGAGGGCCACACCCGGAGCCTTCGACCTGAGGGTCTGATCCACAAGGCAGTGGAGCATCGTAAGGAGATGCAGTCCCATGGAAGCCGGTGACCAACAATTGGTTCATTCGCCATTTGTTCCCGCAGGACACTGGAGCCCATGTGCACCATTGATTTGGAATCGGGTTAAAGCGCCGGACATTCGCTTTCCGTCCTCTCACTTTCGTAAACAACACCCCCGCCACGAGAAGGCAGTGAGTAGGACTTCCCTGGCAGAGGCTATATACGCGTGGCCGTGTGAGAGTATTTCGAGAGGGAGAGCGGACTCTCCCCACTCTCGGCCGTACTAGGGCATTTGGGGGGGCTGAGTATGGGTATCCAAATGTTTATGTCATCAGCGAAGAGTAGAACGGATGATTTTGATACAGTTGGAAATTCATTTACATAAAGTAAAAAGAAAAGAGGACCGAGGATTGTACCTTGGGGAACTCCACTTTTTACGGGTACCCACGGGGAAAGAGCTCCATTAACCCTTACCCTTTGTCTCCTGTCATAGAGGGAGTTACTTATCCAATCTACGACTGTTTAATGGATTCTTAAACGTTCCAGTTTGGATTTAAGACCAGAATGGGAGACCTTAACGAAGGCCTCACGTATACTTATAAAGATCACATCTACAGGAATATTCCGATCTTTTGCCACAGCTCAATCTTCTCTTGCAATGAGATTTGTCAAGTATGATAGACCTCTCTGAAAACCATGTTGTTCCCTGGAGAAAAGATTATGCCCTTCAACATAGTTTATAACAGATATCTGAATGATTTTTTCAATGTTTTACAACCACACTAGTTAAACTAACGGGTCCATAGTTGCTAACTAAATCCCTACTCCCAGCCTTATACACCGGACTTATTATCACGTCTTTTCTGCCTCTGGGCAGTCTGAACTGCTTCATAGGCATGTCAGCCCTCAAATGCCCTGGTATGGCCGAGAGGTGTGGGCCCGCCCTCCCTCTCGAAATGCTCTCACACGACCACGCGTATACAGCCTCTGCCAGGGAAGTCCTACTCACTGCCTTCTCGGGGCGGGGGTGTTGTTTACCAAAATGAGAGGACGAAAAGCAAATGTCCGGCGCTTTAACCAGATTCCAAACCAATGGTGAAAATGGGCCTCAGTATCCTGCGGGAACAAATGGCGAATGAACCAATTGTTGGTCACCGGCTTCCATGGGACTGCATCTCCTTACGATGCTCCACTGCCTTGTGGATCAGACCTGTAGGTCGAAGGCTCCGGGTGTGGCCCCCTAAGAAAGCCACCGGCTTCGGTCTGGGCACCCGGGCAGTATCACAGCTTTCACACATATCAAATGTGATTTATGTGGCGCATATGTATTTGGTGCCTCCTTATACCAATATCTGTGTTAAAATAAATATTTAATAAGAATTCTATTCTCGCTTCGATTTACAGTCAAACAATTCACATTATTATTATTATTATTATTATTATTATTATTATTATTATTTACTACGTCATTCATTCACTCTCCTTTATTCTCAATTTATGTATCCTTATTTTTCGACTTATACAGCAGCTCGCTTATGTTATTATTTATTATTCATTTATTTGAACATAAATATTGGTACAAGAGGGCACCAAATATATATGCGCCACACAAAATAATGAGAATTTAAAGAGAAGGAAAAAATGTAAGGAGCGTAAAAAAAGAGAACAATAAGGAAGGGATTGGTGTAAGGTAGAGTAATAATAATAGTGGTAATAATGGGGGAACGGAAAAGTACAATCAGAAGAAATCCTTTAATTAAGGAAGATACAACCACTTTTTACGAAGAAAGTAAAAGAAGGCTACAACAGGATCGACACTGGCTTCCATTCTGAGCCATATCTGATAACGTCTCTAGCCACTGTGTTGCACCATCTTTAGGACCCCAGTCAGGAAGTCGTGAAGGACCAACAGAAACCAGCCCTTTGCAAATTTCTTTCACACCACGACACCATGTCATACGCTGACCACCTCTCCGCTTTTTCCAACCAGTCCCAGCATCGGCAAATAATGCACGACGTGGAATTCTCTGGGACGACATTTGCAGAACATGTCCAAGCCACCGAAGTCGGTGTTTCAAGATGGTCGCACCGATTGCATTATCGTCTCTGTGCCCGAACACACGATTCCGAACCTCTGAGGACGTTAATAAACTTCTCAGGCACACCCTTCTTCAACAGACAATCCCAGAGAACAGTCCTGTCCAACGAATCGAAGGCAGTCCTAATGTCCAGAAACACCACGATTGTTGGCCTTTTATAAGTATGACGGTGTTCTAACATTTGGCGGAGGGTGAAGATATGATCAATACATCCTCGACCAGAACGAAACCCAGCCTGCTCTTCGCGAGTCAATCTTTCTCGAGTTTTGAACAACCTACGAAGTATAACGGAAGCCAATAGCTTGGACGCGATCGGAAGTAGACTTATCCCCCGATAGTTGTTACAGGAACGACGTGAACTCTTTTTAAAGACAGGGATAACTATCGACTCATTCCATGACGTTGGTACACTTTCTAGCTCCCAGACCTTTGTAAACAACGTCGTCAGTTCCTTAGTCAGAAAGTCACCACCATCTTTAAAAAGAACCGGCGGTAAGTCATCTGGGCCAGGTAATTTGTAGCGCTTCAAGAGTTGGAGTTCCTTGCCGACTTCCTCCTCGTTTGGTGGATCAGTCGTCACCGGCCATGGGGGGCAGGACAGTCTGACCGATGTTGCCGGAACAGCAGGCCAGTTGAAGTGCCCTTCAAAAAATTTTGTCATCGTCCAGGACGTCGATGGATGTTGGTGATTGGCATCCCATCATCCTCGTAGATTGTTTCGCTCACACCAGACTTCTTTCTGTCAGTGGCTTGGATGAGTTGGAAGAGCTTCCGATAATTAGCAGATGCAGCTGCTGCTTCCAGCTCATTAGCACGCTTCGACCACTAGGCTTCTCGGTCCTTACGCAAGCTTTTCCCTATTTCATTACGTAACATCCTCCGTTTGTGGTCAAACTCACGGTCACCCGGAGTAGACCGACGGGCTTCAATGAGTTGTAAGGAGCCAGAAGAAATCCAGTGCTTATAAGTGGGGCGTTTCGCGAACCCACAACTGACTGTACCCGCCATTTTTATGGCGTCATGCAATTGCAACCAATGCTCATCTATACTTTTCGGTGGAGTGGTAGCTAGCCTAGAGGCTAGCTCGGTTCGATACTTACTTGCAACAGAAGTTGCAACCAACTTGCTGACATCAATCCTTTGGTGGTGGTCACTTCGTTGTCCACTGAAAAGTAAGGCAAGATTGGCGCAGACCAAGGCATGGTCAGAGTCCAGATAGGTACTCCAAAAGGAGCGGCAGTCTTTTACAAAACCACGCCAGCGGTAGCTGATCGCGATGTGATCAATCTGAGTCCAGGCTTGGGATGCAGAGGGAGGACGCCAGGTGGCACATCGGCGATGACTGTGCCGAAAGTTAGTGCTAGCTAGAAACAGGTTGTGGTCTGTGCAAAGTTGCAGTAGACGGTCCCCGTTATCTGACCTGCGACCAACGAGTCCCCATCGGCCACCTAAACGACTCTCTTCTGTGCCTAGACGCCCGACCTGAGCATTCAAGTCTCCGGCTAGTACTACAATATCTGTCGAGCGCACTTTCTGGAGAAGAACAGATAACTGGTGGTAAAACTCATCCTTGATTGCATCCGGGCTGCAATCTGTCGGGGCATAGGCAGAGATGACGAAAAGACATCGTTTCTCACGCCGATTTTTTCTCACTTTGATGGAAATTTCTAATCTAACAGCACATAACCGACTGTTAATGGGGATGCAATCGACTAGTGCTGCCTCAGCTCTAGCGCTTAGTGCGACACCAACGCCAGCAAGACCAGACGAAGATGTCACAGGGTCCCCGGATAAGCGCACGTAAAACAAGCTTTTCGAAGCGACAGATGGAGGTCGAATTTGTAGTACTTCGCCAGAGTCTTGAATACGGGTCTCGGATAGACAACAAACATCAATATTAAGACTTTCCAAAGACATAGCCAGCCCTACCTGTTGCCCGACCTGCATAAGTGTGCTAACGTTGAAGGCAGACAGTTTGAATGGTGCACGCGGTTTCAGAAAAACTGCTTCAGTACTCATATTCGGTGGTAACATACAATTTTCAACCGGACAGTGGCTCGATAACGTTTAGATAGAGTCGTGAGTTTATAGATCCTTCCGTGGTCATCTCAGTCCAACTAATATCAGGTGCATTAAAGTCTCCTATCATCAAACATCTGTTATTTGCACTCCATAATTGAATATGCTCTAAAATAAAATCATCAGCTAAGCAGATTGGGCTGCGATAGATGACACCGAGCATAAACTGTTGGGATATTCAGGAAAATATCCCAGAAATTATCCTGTTTAGCCTAATGCTATTCTTGGACTTGGACATGGTATTATTTTCATATTGGTCAATACTTATTTAACGTGTCATTTTCCTACTGGCCAATATTGTATAATGTTATTTTCTATTTTATGGTATGATGTGGTTTGTTTGACTGGTATATAAACAAAGTATGTTTGAAATATAATGATTCATATATCCGAGGCTGTGACTTGCGTTCTGGACTCAACTGCTGGGCTAGATAGGGAAGCGGGACCAATCAGAACCCTAGGTCGTTCTACGTGTCTGCGCGTCTTTGGTCCGATCGATAATTCGCCCCCCCTCAAATCAGCTGCTACTGTCACACAGTTATAACAATTGGCGACGGGGTGAAGAAAAAAATACAATCCAAAGTCATTCTGTAATTGGACGAAATCCAGTCTAATTATTCAACCAATCAGCATCCAGATTGTCGTCACTGTCCTTGAACGACATTGGTCATTATTCACACAGTAATTTTCATCACAGGTGCTGATTCGAAAAAAATGACTCTCCCTTCCGATCGATTACAGCTGCTCTTTGAACAACATTTGGAGTTATTACTCAAATTCCGCACGCAGCTGCTAAATCAGTCACGCTACGAAGATGCGACGGAAGTGGACGGATTGATATCTGAGTTTCACAGTGAGCTGGAAAATGACAGCCTCCATGAATCCTCGATGAACTGTACTTCAAACGAAACAGTCGTCCATGATGCGCCCGGTGGTCCAGTACTTTCTATTCCAGAAACATGCCCGGTAATGGAGTCAAACTCCATCATCCCCGAAACAGCATGTACAGACAGTAGCATATCCAGCTCACGAAAAGATCCTCTTGTTTTGCCAGAGAATGTGTCACATGCATCAAACAATGGTCAGAAATCTAATACAATTTTGATAGATGCTGTTTATTTTGGTAACGTATTATCCACTAATGGAATTTCAAAGAGATCTGATGTGAATGTTTCACAAGAATCAAACTCTAATGACCTCATATCTACTGTCGCTGATCCTCAGCATCTAGTCAGCTCTAGTGGACTCTCTACTCAATGCGGGAAATATGCTTTAAATAGAGTCACACTAACTGTTACTTGGGTATACGAGGACCCAACATTATTCCGCGGGGGAGGATAGACGCGAAGAAATCCAAAATCCGGATCTCCAAAAAAGGGGAGGTGTTGGGATATTCAGGAAAATATCCCAGAAATTATCCTGTTTAGCCTAATGCTATTCTTGGACTTGGACATGGTATTATTTTCATATTGGTCAATACTTATTTAACGTGTCATTTTCCTACTGGCCAATATTGTATAATGTTATTTTCTATTTTATGGTATGATGTGGTTTGTTTGACTGGTATATAAACAAAGTATGTTTGAAATATAATGATTCATACATCCGAGGCTGTGACTTTCGTTCTGGACTCAACTACTGGGCTAGATAGGGAAGCGGGGCCAATCAGAACCCTAGGTCGTTCTACGTGTCTGCGCGTCTTTGGTCCGATCGATAAATTCGCTACCCTTTAATCAGCTACTGTCTCACAGTTATAACATAAACGTACCATATTCGATAGCCAATTCACATCTAATGACTTCACAAGTACCACTATTATGGGATTCGCTAGCAAAGGAGTGGATATTTATATTATTGGCTATATGTAAAAGGACTCCACCTCCTTTTCTAAATCTATTTCTATCACTCCTTAGATAGTGGTATCCAGATGATTCTGGAGTAATGTCTAAGTCATGAACTAACCAAGTTTCTGTCACTGCTACAATGAGTGGCCTTAATTTGTTCACTAATGCTTCTAGTTCATAAAACTTATTTCTTAGACTACGAGTGTTAGCATATAAAACTCCTATGTAGAACGGCCTATCCACACAGGCCTTGGTAGCATTCGCTTCCAAGACCTGATTATCCGAAAACCCACTAACTAGAGATTTTCCTCACCGTTTTGTCTACGGGATCCTAGTTCAGCTAGTGTTTTCTTCCTTTTTATTCTATCTTCGAGAGACATATCAGGTCTAACTGGGATGTCGGAATTGTCGTGACTATGAGCACTACTCAACAGGAAATCCCGTTGCTTATCCGATCCTAGGATTACCTTAAGGAGTCTGCATGGTCGGGGTTCAACATTGTCCTTGGTCCTCTTACCTATTCTAACCAGTTTTTTGACCTGAACTCCTTTAGAGTTATCTAGTAAGATACTACGAATATATTCTCCCAGCTTCTCTAAATCATGTGCGTGTCTGATTTTGGGATCAGGGTCGTTTGACTCCAGCAACTCGCTCACAATAATATTCGATGTTATTAGATTTTTCTTCTCAGTCACACTGGGTGGGTTTCTCTCTTACTATCAGATTTTGGTAGTGCATCTTGTGACTCACAGTGCGAGCCTACCAATGACTTGCTAACCAGCTGCGTACTACCTACAGCTTTTTCTTTTCGTTTCATTTTCTCCGTACTGTAGTCTATTTTTTATCCTTCAGGACACCGGAACTATTTGAAACGGTGACGGTTTTATCCAGATCTTCAATTCCCACTAGAGGTTCATGATTACCAATGTCATTGTCGGGTGGTACTTCCCTCATCGTTAATGTTATCGAAGACTTTACTTTTCCGTCAATCACAGTCGGGCGTTTGAGGCGTCTCGTAACAGCACGTACTACACTGACACATTCTTCACTGTCAGTGCTCGTGTTATCAGTGCAACAGTCATCGTTCTTCTTACAGACCAAAACCAAAAGGCTCATAGCCTCCTGTATTATTAACGTCTTATTTGCACAGCAAAACATGTTAAGCCAACGCGAGTTCGGCTTCGAGCATCTTTTGTATGCGGTGGGACTTAAATCGGTACACATCTTATGGAAGCACTCATCACACTGCATTCCTTCATGCACAGGGAACAAACAGTTTGGTTGTCCACATTTATGAGTACTACCAACCATTGTAGTCAGATTAAGGTTTAAAACAAAATATGAACACAAGTGTCAGTCAATGAGTAAAAAGGTACCACAAGACAAACTTTAGCAAGATTTCTAACTTTAACTAAAGTACTTTGAATGTAAAATAGACCAAGAATGCTTTTGATGTAACAATTACACAAAAGCAAGGATAATCACATCAAGTACAAAATCACTGCCTTTTTTTTAAAAGCGCGCGTGTATTATTATTATCTATGGACGACAATTCTTTTTTATTTCAACACATAGATATTTGTACAAAGAGGCACCAAATACATATGCACCACACAAATCTCATTCGATATGTGTGAGGGCTGTGATACTGCCCGGGTGCCCAAACCGAAACAGGTGGTTTTCTTAGAGGGCCACACCCGGAGCCTTCGACCTGAGGGTCTGATCCACAAGGCAGTGGAGCATCGTAAGGAGATGCAGTCCCATGGAAGCCGGTGACCAACAATTGGTTCATTCGCCATTTGTTCCCGCAGGACACTGGAGCCCATGTGCACCATTGATTTGGAATCGGGTTAAAGCGCCGGACATTCGTTTTCCGTCCTCTCACTTTCGTAAACAACACCCCCGCCACGAGAAGGCAGTGAGTAGGACTTCCCTGGCAGAGGCTATATACGCGTGACCATGTGAGAGCATTTCGAGAGGGAGAGCGGACTCTCCCCACTCTCGGCCGTACCAGAGCATTTGGGGACGACAGTTCTACTGTATGTTATTTAAAATTAGTCCCTTGATATTACTGATCATTCAGATAGAATTTTTATTCTGAATTGTGATGTTTAATTCTGGTAAATTGCTTATTGTATGTCAGGCAAATCTAATTTTGATGGGTCGCTGAGTGATGTGGTTTCTTAGCCCTCTATCTTCTAGTACTAATTGATAACATAAAAGCCTCTTATATATGCAATACCTATTGAACATTGAATTTTAGGATTTATTGGAAGCATTCAACAATATATTTGAAGATATGGTTTGTATTCCGTGCATCGTAATACCAGTCATATTATGGATACTACATCGGCTTTTATATCCTGTCATGTACTACTTTTTTCCAAAATTAAAGCCCATTCCAGAGCCGACAATTGATGAATCGGTAAGATTTATTTTCATCATATATTTTGCATCATAATTATAAAAATTGGCCCCTATGTATATACTAGAATACTGAGATAACGTTACAAGTACTTCAGTGTATTTTGAAATTAGAAACTTAGTAAGACTGTAATTTATGAACTGTGTTGGACGCTAGTGATCTAGATAAAAATTCACCCACTTACTAGGTTCAAAACAGGGTTATAAGTGTGAGGAATCGGTAGGTGAGACTGTAATTTATGAACGACCTTTGAGCGACACTGAAATAACCTTGAGAGTAGACACATACTGATTAGGACTAAATTAGTGTTATAAAGCAGTTAGAATTCTCATTTACAGTTGATGGTTAGGGTTAAAAATTAGATTTATTGTTTCCATCACGAACTGATATCAGCTATAATGCTAAAACTTTATTTAGCCAAATGTGTGGACGAATTTCCCGCCAAAATTCGTGAGTCGTTATCTTATATCTGATTGGTTCTTACTTACTTACTTACTTACGCCTGTTACTCCTCGTGAAGGAGCATAGGCCGCTCACCAGCATTCTCCATCCAACCCTGTCCTGGGCAATCCTTCCTAGCTGCGTCCAGTTGTAATTCATCGTTTTCATATCTGCTTCTATTATCCGACGCAATGTGTTCTTTGGCCTTCCTCTTGTTCGCTTCCCTTCAGGATTCCAAGTTAGGGCTTGTCTCGTGATGCAGTTTGACGATTTGCGTAATGTATGTCCTATCCATTTCCATCGTCTTTTCCTAATTTCTTCTTCAGCTGGAAGTTGGTTTGTTCTCTCCCACAGAAGGCTATTGCTGATGGTATCCGGCCAATGGATGTTGAGTATCTTGCGTAGACAACTATTTATAAATACTTGTACTTTCTTGATGGTTGTTGTTGTAGTTCTCCAAGTTTCAGCTCCATACAGTAGAACTGCCTTGACGTTGGTATTGAAGATTCTCACTTTGATATTGGTTGAAAGTTGTTTTGAGTTCCATATGTTCTTTAACTGTAGGAATGCTGTCCTTGCTTTGCCAATCCTTGCCTTTACGTCTGCATCTGAACCTCCTTGTTCATCGATGATGCTTCCTAGGTATGTGAAGGACTCTACATTTTCCAGAGTTTCGCCATCAAGAGTGATTGGGTTGTTGTTTTCCGCTTTGAATTTGAGGACTTTGGTTTTCCCTTTGTGTATGCTGAGGCCTACTGATGCAGAGACTGCTGCTACACTGGCTGTCTTCATCTGCATCTGTTCGTGTGTACGTGATAGGAGTGCTAGGTCATCTGCGAAGTCCAAATCGTCTAATTGATTCTGAGCTGTCCATTGAATTCCGTATTTTCCTTCAGATGTCGAGGTCTTCATAATCCAGTCGACCACCAGAAGAAAGAGGAAGGGAGAGAGTAAACAGCCTTGTCTGACTCCGGTCCTTACTTGGAATGCATCTGTCAGCTGTCCTCCATGCACGACTTTGCACTGTAGTCCGTCGTATGAGTTCCGGATAATGTTGACAATCTTCTCAGGAACTCCGTAGTGTCGAAGAAGTTTCCATAACGTCCTCCTATCCACACTGTCAAATGCCTTTTCATAATCAATGAAGTTGATGTATAGTGATGAGTTCCACTCAACTGATTGTTCGACGATGATCCGTAGTGTTGCAATTTGGTCTGTGCATGATCGATCCTTACGGAATCCAGCTTGTTGATCTCGAAGTTGGGCGTCTACTGCATCTTTCATTCGGTTCAGCAACACTCTGTTGAAGACCTTCCCTGGTATTGACAGCAGTGTAATGCCTCTATAGTTTTCACATTTGCTCAGATCTCCTTTCTTTGGAATCTTGACGAGGTGTCCTTCTTTCCAGTCCATCGGCACTTGTTCCTCCTCCCAAATCTTTTTGAATAGAAGATAAAGCATGTTTGTAGTTGCTTCGATGTCTGACTTCAGTGCTTCAGCTGGTATGTTGTCCGGACCCGCTGCTTTCCCGTTCTTGATTTGTCTGACGGCTATTCTGATTTCTTCCTTCGTTGGTGGGTTGACGTCTATGGGAAGATCTGTGTGTGCCGCTTCGATGTCCGGTGGATTCATTGGAGCCGGCCTATTCAGGAGTTCCTCGAAGTATTCTACCCATCTGTTCCGCTGTTGTTGAATTTCGGTGATTGGCTTGCCTTCTTTGTCTTTGACCGGTCTCTCTGGTTTACTGTATTTCCCTGCTAGTTTCTTCGTTGTATCGTGAAGCTGTTTCATATTTCCTTCTCTAGCAGCTTTTTCCGCCGTCGTTGCTAGTTCTTCCACATATTTCTTCTTGTCGGCTCTAATGCTCCTCTTCACTTGTTTGTTTGCTTCTATGTATTCAGCTTGTGCTTGGACTTTCTCTGCTCGTGTTCGGCTGTTGTTTATTGCTGCCTTCTTGTTCTTCCTTTCTTTGATCTTGTCCAGTGTTTCTGTAGAGATCCATTCCTTATGATGGTATTTCTTTGGACCCAGAACCTCTTGACACGTTGAAGTCAATGCTTCCTTGATGCCTTTCCAGTTGTCCTCCATACTAGTTTCTTCTTCTTTCAGTAGATCTTGTAAGGCTTGGAACCTGTTGTTGAGAGCTATCTTGAATTCATTGAGTTTGTCAGTATCTCGAAGGAAGGCTGTATTGAACCTTTGTATTGCTGTTTGTCCACTTGTCCAGTTCTTTTTTAGCTTCAGTTTTAAATTGGCCACAACTAGGTGGTGATCTGAAGCTGCGTCAGCACCTCTCCTGGTTCTCACATCTTCCATTGTCCTTCGGAATTTTTTGTTGATGCAAATATGATCTATTTGGTTCTCTGTAGTGTGGTCCGGTGAGATCCATGTAGCCTTGTGTATACGCTTGTGTGGAAATATTGTGTCTCCTATGATCAATTTGTTGAATGCACATAGATTTGCAAATCTTTCTCCATTTTCGTTTCTTTCTCCCAGTCCATGTCGTCCCATAATATCTTCATATCCAGTGTTGTCTATTCCGACTTTGGCATTTAGATCTCCCATCAGAATAGTTAGGTCCTTCCTTGGGCATTTCTCAATGACTGACTGCAGCCGCTCGTAGAACTGATCTTTAATGTCGTCGTTGCTATCATTGGTGGGTGCATAACATTGGATAATATTCATTAAGATCCCCTCCTTCTTTGTTTTGAATGATGCTTTGATGATTCTGGATCCGTGGGATTCCCATCCTACAAGTGCATTTCGTGCTAATTTGGACAGCATAAGAGCAACTCCCTGAGTGTGTGGAGCATTGTCCTCTTCGTGACCGGAGTATAGCAGCATCTCTCCCGTAGCTAGCCTTTTCTGTCCAGCTTGGGTCCAGTGGGTTTCGCTGATTCCCAGTACGGCTAAGTTGTATCTCCTCATTTCCAATGCTATTTGACTGGTCTTCCCGGTTTCCCACATTGTTCGAACGTTCCATGTACCTAGAAAAATTTTTGCTCTGGTTGTTAGAAGGGGCATCGGCCTCGTGGCTTCCGAAGGAACTCGGCTTTCACCATGAAGCGTCATAATTCTTCTAAATGAAGACCTTCTAACTCCCAGGGCAGAGTTTAAATGGTTTGGATTATTTTTTCTGATTAGCGTTTTTTTAGCGAGTTAGTTTTCTACGGGATGGGGACGCTAACCCCATGCCCAACCCTCCTCCTTTACCCGGGCTTGGGACCGGCAGTAACCCTATAAGAGCTACAGGCGGAGTTATCTGATTGGTTCGTCTATAAATTATAGTCTCGTCAAAGATTCTTCCTACTCACTTCTATTCTGTTCTCACTCTCATTTGTATCCAGAAAAAAAATCGTATCAGTTATAGAAAAAAATCACTGTTTAAGCACAAATGTGTTCTCATGTTAGGTTATGATCCATGTTGAGTTTCTTCAAGAATTCCACACTTGTTTAAATTTCATCTTGACTAAGTGATTTTTCTCAGAGAATCGTTTTACCATGAGCTCCCGAACCAGTTAGAAATAAGTGAAAAATTAGGAAGAATTGATCAGCTGTTTCATCCTAGTATGGAACTGACCAAAAACGCACATCTACAATTCGACCCCTTAGTGTTTAAGTCTTAGTACTATAACGGGACTATTGGAACATTGTGTCGGAAGCAAACAATCAGCGTCCCTAGCTTGAATCAGTAAGCGATACAGTCTGAAGGCTTTCAGCAATGCTTTAAACAATTATAGCAGGGATAGATCAAGTTGGTTCACGAAAATCAGATTTATTTTTTAAAAGAGAACAAGATTACTTTCGCCTAGCAACGTTCTTATGTTTTCAGCTCTCATATTCATTAGAAAAACTGAATTTTTAAATTGTTTATGTTACTGTTGTTTTCATTCACAACTCTCCTCTTCTTATATCTCTCTACCTATCACACTAAAGGAACAATTGAATGATATTACGAAAGACGATGTAATCGATACTTGTCAGGTTAGTGAATTATTTCAATTGCAAATCCGCTTTTTTTTCTTATTATTTTAGCCATCATCACCTTCAAAGTCTAAATCTGAGTGATATCTTTCTTGTTGCATTCTGTAAATTGACTTTTGATCTTACTTGAATAATTTAAAGTTCTTTTTTATGAAAAAAAAAACTGGTTGTTTTATGTTTGTACAATAGACTGTTTTAGGGGGATTATTGTGTTCATCAAGTACCATAGTTTTTTTTTCAAAAAATGCAAATTTTAAACAAAGCATTCTTCAACCAGTCAGTTAGTCAGCTACAACATAGGACCAGGCACATATATACATCGGTCCAAGTTGCCATACCTCACTCATTAGTACAACAAGATGAACACCGGATTCATAGGAGTGGTTAAGTCAATGGTGGTAATATATAAAAGAAAGATTGCATGTAAGGATATAGTACAGGAAGAAAGAATTAGTTCATAGAAAGAAAGATATGAAGCGATTTTAATCTCTTAGTTTAAGGGAAGACAGTGAGTGTATACACCGACGCCATTGTGATCGATTCTGAGCCAATGTTCCCCAGAGTCTCCAACCATTGGTTACAATAGTTGTGTGGACCCCAATCAAGTAGTTTGCATCTCCCAACATGGCTCAGACTAGAAGTTAGTGACTTCAAGCACTGATGCCACGTTTTTGTTTGGCCGCCCCTAACATTCTTCAACCAAACTTGGAGCGGTTCAATAAAAGACTGTCAGTAATTCTGGAACACATGTTTAGACTCAGATAATCTCTCTAGTGTATTTGTCAGCGTCTCATCCGATGTAAAAAAAAGCCCACAACAAGAGAACCTTTTGAAGTTCAGCCTAATAACGCATTAATGATGATATTTCAGAAACAGCTAGAGAAGTTAGCCAACCATTAAAGTAATATCCGCCTCAAGGTAACTTGGTATGATATCCGAGCAGCTGTAAAAATAGGAATGATATTTACTATTGAATTAAAACAAAAATGTTATGGTTAGACTCTATGTTTTAGACATTAATAACATTAGTATCTTTTGCGTAAGTTTCTAGAAATTCAGGACCACTGTTAGCTCCATAAATATTCTTTTATTTTCTTTCATCGAAATAATTCCAAACGTAAAACGTCTCATCATTTCCACCTTTCTGCTACTTTCGAGGTTAAAGTGTCGAAGATGCTGGGGATCTATAAGCTATTTCGAAAGTTTCCACCTCGAATTTTCAACATACATACATGTCTTATCAGTATTTTTATTCGTTCAACAATTTTCGCAACCCGATCTTTCTTAGGCATATATAACTGAGTTTGCAATACTTTTCAATACTTGGCAACTCTACTTCATGGCGTTTTGTCCAAATTTATTGACCAATCATTTACTTTATCTTCATGTAATCAGTTTCCCTAATCCCTCAGTTCTGTTTCTAAGACTTAATAAGTTGTGTAAGTCTACATTAAAACTACTACATCGTTAAACCAGTTGGAGATCGTGGAGATGATTTGTTTTCATGAGTTTTGCCAAATTTAAAAAGTATTGCTAATCCTCATCTACTGAATAAGTGATTATGTTGAAATGTTTTTTTTGGAATGATTGAAGCTCAAAAACTTGGCATTAGCCCCCAAATGCCCTGGTACGGCCGAGAGTGGGGAGAGTCCGCTCTCATTCTCGAAATGCTCTTACATGGCCACGCGTATATAGCCTCTGCCAGGGGAATCCTACTCACTGCCTTCTCGTGGCGGGGGTGTTGTTTACGAAAATGAGAGGACGGAAAGCGAGTGTCCGGCGCTTTAACCGGATTCCAAACCAATAGTGCACATGGGCTCCAGTATCCTGCGGGAACAAATGGCGTATGAACCAATTGTTGGTCACCGGCTACCATGGGACTGCATCTCCTTACGATGCTCCACTGCCTTGTGAATCAGACCCTCAGGTCGAAGGCTCGAGGTGTGGCCCCCTAAGATAACCACCTGCTTCGGTTTGGGCACCCGGGCAGTATCACAGCCCTCACACATATCGAATGAGATTTGTGTGGTGCATATGTATTTGGTGCCTCTTTGTACCAATATCTATGTGTTGAAATAAAATAAATGATAAATTAGCCTATTATGGAATCGTAGAGTAGAAACAACTCTGTAAATGCCAAATACATGCTAAGTTTTTATTCTTTCATGTGTTAAGAGTGAATCAGCAAGTATATCATTACCATAAGTGATAAACTATTATGATGAATAGTACATATATATATTTGTGATATCCCAATGAGTAGAAAAATTGTATTCGTGACTTAATGTAAGTCACTTCTTACTATGAAAAAGTATTCAAATGAGAATTGGTTCAGATGTTTGATTCATTGATTATTAAATCAACTTAATAAACATCTATACACATAAAATTTCATCACATTTAGCAAAAGACACTTGTATTCACATTAGTTGATAAGTAGCCTGGAATTTCAGGGCTATTTTAGGGTCATCCAATTGTATTCTAGTACAAATGAACAGAAATAATATTCATAGGTATAAGTTCGTCTTTAGAATTCAACTAGAATCATTTTTGTTAACAACGACTTCAAAGAAGTAAGTATTTGAACCTGTTGCAAGAATTCTAATTATTAAACAACCTTTTTTTACTAAGCAAACCTTATAAGTGATACTGTGGTGCGTGCTACTTATATTGATATAAGTAGTATGTGACGTGAGTCAGGAATGTAATGTCTGGCAGGAGAAGATCAAGAAAGGAAGAACAGAGATAGAAAGCAATTAGTATGGAAATGAAAAAAACAATGAAGTCCGAGACAATTATTGAACATTTTGCAAATTAAGTATTATAGTATGGTTTTCATATTTTACGAAGTAACTCTGTAATGTTGTGAGAAATATGATTCGGTTGTTCTCATCTGTGTTCCCCTTCACTACAATACGACTAGAAACTACTGAATTCAAAATAAAAATTAATAGAAATGTTAAATATTCATACAAGATGAGCGTCTAAGTAAACAATCAAGTTACATATAAGAAAATAACCCTGAGAACTAAACAATAGCACGAAACAGCCATCCAGTACTTCCAGGTTTTCGATGGCGGTCTAACATCAGTCGGTTCATGATCTCAATCAAAAACTTTAACAATCTCCACAACCTCTAAACTGATAATACAATTTGTCTTGAAGCATGATACTTTTATGAAGTAAAAATTTCACGGTTGTAATTTTTTAGTTCAGCAAAAACAGTTAAAACTAAAGCTTATACTTTAAATCAGAAAACGATATATGATTGTGTCGAATGAAAATATCAGCGATAAACAAAGTTAGATTAATCTCTTTTCCAACAGTTGAGACCATGAGTCAATTGAAGCTAGACCACCATGGAAGCACTGAACGGCCGTTCCGTTCTATTGTGGGACTCCTCAGCAGTGTGCATCCACGACCCCGTCTCGCGGGATTCGAACCGAGGACCTATCGGTCTCTCGCCAGGCGCTTAACCAACCAGACCACCGAGCTGACCGGCAAACAACGGTGTTAATGTCTAACTTCAACTAATCCATGAAATTGAGCCACACATCCATGAGTTACTACCTCACAACTGACCCGGTTGAACTCCACTGGTCACTGCTTCTCACTAGAACTACAGGATATATATCTTGAATCCAGTCATTAGTGAACATATGTTGATTAGTATCAGAAGGGTCGTGGATGCTCACTGATGAGGAGTCCCAGACTAGGACGAAACGGCCGCCCAGTGCTTCCGGGTTTTCCATGGTGGTTTAGCTTCAATTGACTCATGATCTCAACTGTTGTAATTAATCTCTTTTTATTGAGAAATGATGAAGGTTTTTTTTAAATTCCAAATTATGGTTAGGTTAAATAAGTTAAAGGAGACATAACATTTGAAGCAATTAATCCCTTTGATAAATTTGGATTGTATAGTAAGAAGATGAAGGTAATTAGAGCTATGTGATACTATTTTGGGTGCCATAACAGATAAAATACAAGCTTATATTGCTGACGTAGGCATGACAAACTACTGATTATAAATAAGTAGTGTAAATTTACACTGACCTTTGAATTTGGCAAACAATACCAAGTGAATTTAAACTTCACCCCATTGCACAAGCAAGTGGCTATTAGGACCCAGTAGTTAAGTGGATAACGTGATGGCGTTTGAAGTGAACGGTACTGGGTTCAAGTCCCAGAGTGAACATCGAATCTGAGGTGCAGGTAAATCCAGCTGAAGAGTCCTAAATGGAACGAGACGCGCGTCCTGGATTCCACTGCTATCCACTATCCATCTTTGCTTAGAATGCTTGTGAATTAGAGCAATATCGAGACCATCCATAGAGGATACATATATGTTAAAAAGAGACTGATCAATCGTAGTCCTAAACATCAATGGGAAGATTCGAACAAGCCAATTTCGTAAGTGTATTCATACACTTATATACACTGAAATGATATACGTAGTTATGTGATATGATAAAATATGATTTTATATGTAAGTAAATAACAACTGACACTTGAAGAGTTTTACAATGTGGAAAGCGAAAAAAGCGTTATATATGAAGCTTGAAGATTCTAAAATATACATAGTTTTTAAACATGTTAATTGGAATGTCATACTAAAGTGTATGGCTGTTAACTTAGTTTGTATAGATAACAGAACTACGTCATATTGACTCTAAGGTATCAGAATGGTTATCTGTTTCCCTACACATTTATCAGGCTTTTGAAGACAAAATGCTGACAATTATTATTATTCAGGTAGGGAGCATTTAAGGTAACTCATTAAAATGTACAGGAATTAAGGTAATTTTATTACAAGAGGGTATTGTGGAGATTTTCGTAATTCAATAGTTTGTTGAACTTAGACACTAACACTATTGGATACCGACTCGGTGGTCCAGAAGTTAAGCGTTCGCACGCGAGGCTGATAAGTCCTAGGTTCGAATCTAGCGGGGCGGGATCATGGATGCTCACTGCCGAGGAGTCCCTTACTAGAACGAAACAGCCATCCAGTGCTTCTAGGTTTTCCATGATGGTCCATCTTTAATTGACCCATGGATTCAACTATTAGGGTAATTGAATTAATACTACTCAAAAATTGTGTATAGTGGGATCTTGAGGATTATGTTAATAAGATCTTGAAAGTAGCGTTAGATACTATTAAATTTCATAAAATTCAAAAGACGAAAAGAACAAGAGTGAAACAATTGAAGTATAACACACAAATATTCTTGGTACATTTAAATTATGGTTTTT